TATGCAAGTGTGTGTGCTGTTGAGATTTTTTTTTTCACAGTCTCAGCCTTTTTTTCTCTTTCTCTGGAAGAAGTAGGCCTTGCTATACAGACAATAACACACAAGCAGTACGCAGCAGAGTGAGACAGCCTTTCGTATAAATCTCGCTTTTTTGTCTGTCTCTTTTGCAAACTTTTTTTTTTGGATCTTCCTTTAGCGCTCCTTCTTTTTTTTTTTTCTTGCGTAAAACAAAAGTAGCTGTTTGGAGAGGAGAATGTCCCAAAGATAAGATAAGGCTGTGGTATAAGAGTTTGAATAAGGCCATACGGCAGAGAACTGTTCCAACAAGCTTATGGGGGAACCTGTTTTATATGGCGTGCATACTAATTTTCTCTCATAATAACAACAACACAAAGTTCAGCTCGTCATAACCTTTGCTTCATCCAAAGTAATGTCAGATTTGCAGCAATCGTTCAACCTATAATTCCGGCAGGCACAATGAACTTGTTACTGACACCTTTACCCCGCAGGTCATCTAATATAGACACTTTTGAACTCTTTGTTTGGAGACATGGAAATCATTTCATGGAAATAAACATGTCAGACACTAAATCCATGCAGTCAGTCAAATCAAATCAGATACGTTCTGTAACAACATGCAAGTTCCGGTTTTGCCTGCGAAATGTATGCAAAACCAAATACCACGACATCTTGTTCTTAACGCCGTCAACTCGTATGAATTGTGCAGAACTTTCCTTTAATTTGGAGTGGAATTATGCAAAGTGAATTGCAAGCCAGTGGAACGTTCACAAACAGAATGGCACACCGACCTGACGCTCGGCTTTGTTTGTTAGGAAACGCTGCGTTTACATAGCAGGCGCCTATTGGCAAATGCAAAGCAAGCTGCAGTGAGTTGGTTTGAGAATAAGGCTTCGCCTGGTGGTCTCACGAAGGCCTGATGGTCGCCCTAAGGTGTCGCGTAGCCCTGAGAGAGTGGCATATGTTGCCTAAACTCATTTTAGGGATTAAGCCAGATTAAATCACTTGATATGATTCTGCTCGAGCTAGAATTTTTTTTTTTCCTTCCTCCCCTGGCTCTATCCATGGATCATAACGGATCATTGCAAGCAGGGATAGACTGACCTTTGAATTCCGTTAATATGTTGTATATAGTTTCAGGATTTAAATTATTGAATGTTTCATGTGCTATGGCTCAGAGCCAGTTGGAAAGAGTTTGAGGGCGGTTGATGGAACCGTGGCCAGTGCTCTATTGTCATTACGTCTGGTGTTCGTTGATCATATACATGCGCCTTGCAAACTTAAACATTTGGTTTTCATTGATGTATTGAATATTGTCATTGCAAATCCAGCTGATTTAAATGTGTGAATGGGAATTTAACTGGCTAACGTATGAATACGGGGTTGTGGAAAGAAGATTGTCACAAATTATTCTATTATCTTAAAGCTGTGTGTTTAATATTTCAAAAAATAAAAGTACACTGTAAAAATATCTGCAAATTAACAGTTTTTCTGTATTTTGTGATTCATGTTTTATCTTATTATTATTAATGCTTTTGAATTGCATTATGAGATCTTGGTTTTTCTTTTTGACAACTTTTATCCTTAAAAAGTTTTTAAAAGTGACTTTTCTGAACATTTTTAATGGTTTAAAGCAGGGGTGCCCAAACCTTTTCTTATGAAAGGCCAAAAAACAAACTTGATTGAGGCTAGTGGGTAAGCTAGGTAAACACAGTTGCAATGTGCAATATCCTAATTTATTTAATAATATTTAAAAATGACTAGAAATTATTGCTTTATATTAACTAATACAGCATACAATATATTTTAGCATGAACTTATTACAGTAAAACCAAAAACAATCAAATTTAAAACAGCATTGCACTAGTTTTTGCCTTGATTTGCTCATCGAGGTCTTCTGCATAGTCCTCTCTCTGTTGTGTGACATTATTTACTGTTCATTTAAAAAAATATGATCTATTAAAAACATTTTATTGAAACATTTAATTTTAGTTTGTTTTTTTGTAGCTCAGCAATAAAACAAACAAACAAAAAAACGTTACATCAAATTAGAAATGACAATCTCTTTTAAAGGCATTCGCCGCAACACTCTCCATCATTCTCAATCTCTTCTTAGATGGGATGGCGGGCCAAATCAAAGGTTACAATGAGCCAACTTTGGCCTGCTTGCCCTGCTTTGGGCATCTCTGGTTTAAAGTGATTTATTGTCTAGGTTGGTTATCGTTTTTTTACAGACTTATTTCTCTATATATTATTTCTTTTACATTATATTATTTCAAAATGTCAGTAAAAGTCACTTTGTTAAACTGTAGAGTTGAATTTTCAGTATGAAAAGTTGATAGAGATCAACACTCCAAAATGCCATACACAACCGTAAATAAACTGAAAATACAAAATACAGAATCTGTTAATTAACAGATATTTTTTACAGTGTATAGTCTTTTGTCCAAGTGTTGAATACTTGATACTGAATGACAAATATATTACTTTATTAATAAGATTAAATAAAAACACTTCAAAATAAAGGTTTAAATCAGCGATTTTATTAAAATGTCCTTCACACAAAGAACAAATATTTCCTTTTAGGAACTGTTCAATGAAAGGTTCAATGAAAACCAAAAATGCTTCTTCTATAGCGTCACTACAAAAACCCTCTTAATCTTTATTTTTAATATTTAAGTTAAAAATTCTAGAATTTCAACTCTTTCATTGACTATTTTCTCTCATAGTTTTAAACCTTTATTAGTTTCTTCTGTTCAACGCAAAAGAAGTTAAGTAATGTTGGTTGCTGCCACTTTTTAACTTCCAAAAAAACAATAAAAAATGAAGAATAGCCACCAGAATTGCTTTAAATATCTTTTTTGTGTGTTCAGCAGACGATTAATAAAGTGAACGATGACAGGATTTTCGTTTTCATAACTGTTGTTATGAAACAATTCTCGAACAATTATTGAACAATTCTCTGGTCTTACTGTTTTGTTTGAGACATTAAAAGGTTAAAAGTAAGATTTCTTTCACCTTTTCATTTGAAATACTACTTCTGTTGTCAGGAAAACGTAACAAACCTCTCTTTGTTGTGTGAAAAACGTTGTCACGTCCTCAGATTAAGTTTAAAGAGGGAATGTTGTCCCGTCTCTCTCCTTTTACTCTTTGTTTGTCTGGCGAATCTAAAGGCAGCTGCTGGTCTGTAGCGTCTGCTGAGAGTTCTGGCCCGCGCGTTCACACGCCGCTCAATGGAGGGAGGGGACGGGACGGGGCAAACGGGGACACTGCTGTGCGCCCGCTCGCTCGCTGGAGGTGATGGCAAGTGTATTGGTGAAAATGACAAAAGTGCGTGTCTGCGTCTGAGTGCAATTCTTGAGGACAAGAGGGGGAAAATGGAGGTAAATTGGGGTGGGAATGAAATACGGGCAGCGCCGCTGATTGGCACATGTAAAATTAATGTGCTCTGGACTTTGCAGTTGCACAAGATAGGAACTTGTTAATTTGGCAAAGTAAGAAGCCAACCCACTGACCGAACCCTACACTATCTCCCTCCCCCCGTCTCTTTCACCCTCCCTCCATCCCTGCCTCCCTCCCATTCAGCCCTTCAAGCGTGCGTATTGGCTGAGCGATCGGGCACCCGGTGCCAAATAGGTGGGCTCAGCTTCGCGCTGGCACACTCTGAGGCAATGGATAGGAAAAGAGCATGGAGAGGAAGAGAGAGATAGAGTTGGAGAGGAAAAAGGGGAAAAAAAGAAGCTTCTATCGGGTTTGCCAGCGGTCGTACGCGCTCTTCCAACATTGATTTGGTTCTCTGTTTTTTTTTTTTTTGCGCTCTCTATTCGCTCCTCTCTACCCCCCTCTCTCTTTCTCTCTGTCTATCTCCCGTTCTCTGTCTATCTCTCGCTCTCTGTGAGTCGAATGCAGAGCACGCATATCTGAACCAACTCCACTTACTGCTTTGCCAAACATTTTTTCCTCTTTGTTGCGGCATTTGTGTATTTATTTGTGTATGTTTTTCTCTAACTGTGAGTACTTTTATTTTAATCGCGAATGATTTCAGTTCGCTTTTCTTGTTTGAATTTTAAATTCTAATAATTTTTTTTTTTTGGATTTGGTTTTTGGTGCTTGGCAAAATCCCCATTTTTTTTTTTTTTTTTTGGCAAAGTTTCTTTTTGTTCTCTCTCTCTCTCGTTTTCTTTTTTATGTATTAAATATTTCTCTCTAGCATTTCTTGTTTTTCTATATCCAAAGCAATATCACAATTTGGCTTCTCCAAGATATTCTCAAAATCAAACTGGACTTTTTTTATCACAAATTTTTGAACTTTTTGTCACAACAACGAAAACCTTCAGCGACTTTGTTTACTATCAATCGTGGCATGTAGTGTCAAACTGAGCACGGAGAAGACATTTTACTGGTTTTTCCTCTCTTGTATCGGCCGGCAGGGTTTATGATGAAAGTGCAGAATGGTAACTACCGCCAGTTTTCTTTGCTGTTTCGCTGCATGTCTTGTGTGTTTTTGTCTGTGCGCTGCTTCTGTGTTTGTGTGGCCGTGTATAGTTTGGATCAGGACGTGCGGTGGTGCGGTTTGGCACAAGCGACAGCGAGCAGCTGTTACAGACTCTTTTCATCTGTCCCTTAAAAACATCATTGTCTTGCTCTGAACGGAGAGACAGATCTTAAAATAAAGCATCAAACTAAAAAAATTAAATAAAATAAAGTTAGAAATGTCATTTATTTTTGTTATTTTTGTCTGTAATTAAATACTCTTCCATTTAATTCCACCTAATGATTGCTGCATTTATATGCTCATGCATTTAATGGATGTTGTGTGTCTATGTCTGTGTGTGTGTGTGTGTGTGTGATCCTCACACGTTCCTCATACTGTTCCCTTTACGCTGTCAGTCGGTCGGCTCATGCTCCGTGAATCTAACATCTTCTCTCCTTCTCTCCTCTCCTCTCCTCTTCTCCCCGTCTCTCCCTCTCCGTCCCTCCAGGATGAATTCCACCCCTTCATCGAGGCTCTCCTCCCGCACGTGCGGGCGTTCTCCTACACCTGGTTCAACCTGCAGGCCCGTAAGCGCAAGTACTTTAAGAAGCACGAGAAGCGCATGTCCAAGGATGAGGAGCGCGCCGTCAAAGACGAACTCCTGGGCGAGAAGCCCGAGATCAAGCAGAAGTGGGCGTCGAGGCTGCTGGCCAAACTGCGCAAGGACATCCGGCCGGAGTTTCGCGAAGACTTCGTGCTCACCATCACGGGGAAGAAGGCACCGTGCTGCGTGCTCTCCAACCCGGATCAGAAGGGTAAGATCCGGCGCATCGACTGCCTGCGGCAGGCCGACAAAGTCTGGCGCCTGGACCTGGTGATGGTGATCCTGTTCAAGGGAAGCCCGCTGGAGAGCACAGACGGAGAGAGGCTGGTCAAGTCCCCGCAGTGCTCCAACCACAGCCTGTGCGTGCAGCCGCATCACATCGGAGTGTCTGTCAAGGAGCTGGACCTGTACCTGGCCTACTTCGTCCACATGCCAGGTCAGTGGGTTACACTCTCTTTCTTCCCTCCTACTGCTACTGATATGTTGATTTAAGAGCGGCCAGAATCTAGAGTAAGGCGACACCGCCGTAATCGCCGTCACATCCAGCACACTTACTGTATAAACACTTGCTTCCAGTGTGTGTGAGAGTGTGTGTGTGTGTGTGTGTTCTACTGCCAGAGCTGAAATCAACCTGAAAACAGGCTTTATATTAAAATAAGGGGAATTTATTTCTGTTTATTATTATTGGTTTATTATTTATTATGTCTTTTAGTTTTGCTTCTAGTTAGGAAGAAATGCTGTTGAGCTGCTGTCAGATCTCATGTTGACTTTTTGGAAATGTTTTTACATTCAATCAAGATCATTTTAACATTGTGAATTAGATTCTTTTCTTGTAAAAGGTAAACATTTGACATGGCTTTAGATATCATGCATGTATTTTGTTATCTGGTTATGCTCTTCTGTTTGGAAGAAATCCCCTCAAACTGTATTGAATTTTCAGGCTGAATTTGGGTGGGACGAATAATTAAAATCATTTCAACATTATTAATTGGCAGCAACAAAGAAAGTCATTTAAAAAATCCTGCAAATTGGTGTATCTCATTTATAAGCCATCTGCTTCTTAATTGGAAGAAATCCTATCAAACTGCATTGAAATCTTAGCATAATTATTATAATTATTATTATTTTCTATTTTTAAAAACGTGTACTAATAAGGTTTTTAAATGTATTAATTAAACATAATAATGTCTGGTGTGAAAATGTAAATCTTTTATGTTATGTTTGCAAGGCTTTTTGCACTATACTGTTCTTAATCTGCACAACTCTGGTTTACTTTGCACTCATTTGCTATATGCCCTTAATGTCATTGTATGTCATTGTATTGTTTACAATTTTATTACCTATGTATATTTTTTTAGATCACATTTTATGTACAATGTATATACTGTAAATTTTCTTTTTCTTAAAACTCTACTATTTTTTCAAAATAATTTTTTATATTAATGTTAAGCACCTTGGGTCTGAGAGAAACGCAATTTCGATTCTCTATATGTCTTGTACATGTGGCTGAATTGATAATAATGCTGACTTTGACTTAAAAAAAATTATTAAAAAGTCACGAAAATTAACTGGGAATCCTACTGATATAACTCCCGATGCAGAATTAATCCAAATTACATCTGCATATTTCACAAATATTATCAAAGCCGCTTAGTCTGCATTTTGCAAGACATAATAAAGTCAAGCAGTTAAAATGTGCTATACACACTAGTATTTATTTGTGAGTTCGCTATACTGTATGTATGCAGTAGAACAGTGCGCGTGTGTATATTTATTCTGAGGGTGGTTTAAATGAGTACTGTGTTTTTACTGGGCTTTTCAATTCTTCATTGCCATTCTACATTCATATTGGCAGGGCTGTTGGACTGTATCATATTGAGATGTGTGTGTTTGTGGATAAGTTACCCTCCCTGTCTCGTACACTCCACTGCCAAACACTGATTCTGACACGGCTAGCACTCTCTCTGACGCACACAAGATCTGACCGGCCAAACACTCTCACAATCACCAGTCATAAAGCGCTTTCTTTTCACTAATTCAATTTAACTTCACAGCACAGTAACCAAATCACTACTTTCTGGACAAACACATCAAACTAAAACCAAATATTAGCTGCCAAAGCATTTCCTGCATGTCTTTCGGTCAGCGTTCGCTCTGGTTCAGTCTGTGCCCAGTGGGGTTGGCCAGCGCGCTGCCCGTTCAGAATGTTTGCTGTGCTCTTATCTTATCAGGCTAATTCCAGTGTGCACTGCTGCTTTTATCAGACTCCAAATAGCCCCGGCGGAGACTGGCACCCTGCAGGGCAGCCGCACACAAACCCGGGGCCCGTGGCATCCGGTGCCAGAGCTCAGGGGGCCTTTCTGAACCCTAGACGCCACACTCATAATATGATTTCTGCCGCTTGCTCAAACTACTTATTTAAAATGAGCTGATGCTACACAATTCTTTAGATTTAATTTAATTCAATTTAATTGTTCAAACTCAAATTTGACGTAACTTAATGAATTTATTTTGGGACAAGATGAATGCATTGCATGCACTGCATTTTTTATAGTGCATGCACTGATCACTGATCTTTTAAGGTAGATTTAAGTGTTGTTCTTTATTTGTTCATTCATATATACACCCTAAAATAGCTGGGTTATATATCAAACCCAACATTGGGTTTAAAATAACTGGGCACTTGCCGAAAATGCTGTTTGTTCAAAATACTTAATTCAAATAAGCAGAAACAACACAATTCTTTTGGGACAACTTAATTGTTTTATGTTCAACCGACTCAAATTTGTTGTTAACTCAATTGATTAATGTTTTTATGATTTAAGCATTCCAAACTAAATGAAAAGGGCTTTTGTTTGGTAATGATTCTGCATGCCAAAACCTATCTACACCCCCAATAAATGCTGGATTGTTTTTAACCCAAGTTGGGTTCGTCCATATTTGACCCAACATTGGTTAAAACCAACTCAGCTCTCAAAAAAATGCTGTTTGTTCAAACTACTTAAGTAAAATAAGCAGAAACAACACAAATATTATTTTTTTGGGGGACAACTTAATTGTTTTGTGTTCAGTCAACTCAAATTTGTTTACTTAATCGATTTATATTAGGTCAACATGAATAAATTGTGTAGAAGCCTGCATTTTTACAGTATATACTCTGATCTGGACACATTTTTATTGTTGTTGTTTTTTAAAAGTTGATTTAACAGTTTTTATTGCTTATATTGTGCATTCCAAATTAAATGAAATGGCCTTTTTATTAGGTATTTATTCTGCATCCCAAAACATATCTACACCCTCAAAAAATGCTTGGTGATTTTTCAACCTAAAGTTAAGTTTGTCCATATTTTACCCAACATTGGGTTAAAACAACTCGGCACTCAAAAAATGCTGTTTGTTCAAAATACTTAATTAAAATAAGCAGAAACAACACAATTCTTAAGATTTTTTCAGGACAACTTAATTGTTTTATGTTCAACCAACTCAAATTTGTTGTTAACTCAATTGATTAATGTTTTTATGATTTAAGCATTCCAAACTAAATGAAAAGGGCTTTTGTTTGGTAATGATTCTGCACGCCAAAACGAATCTACACCCCCAAAATATGCTGGATTGTTTTTAACCCAACGTTGGGTTCGTCCATATTTGACCCAAAATTGGTTAAAAACAACTCAGCTCTCAAAAAAATGCTGTTTGTTCAAACTACTTAATTAAAATGAGCAGAAACAACACAAATATTTTTTTTTTTGGGACAACTTAATTGTTTATGTTCAACCAACTGAAATTTGGTAAATTATTTAAGGACAACATGAATACAATGTGTAGTACCCTGCATTTTTTTCTGATCTGGACACATTTTTATTGTTATTTATTATTTTTTTCAAAGTTGATTTAATTGTTTTTATGATTTAAATTGTGCATTACAAACTAACTGAAACTGCTTTTTTATTAGGCATTTATTCTACATCCCAAAAAACGCTTGAAGATTTTTCAACCCAATGTTGAGTTTGTCCATATTTTACCCAACATTTGATTAAAACAACTCGGCATTTAAAAAATGCTGTTTTTTTCAAACTGCTTAATTAATTTAAATGAGCTGAAACAACACAATCCTTGATTTTTTTTTTTGTTTTGTTTTGGGACAATTTGATTGTTTTATTTTCAGTGAACTTAAATTTGTTAGCTTAATTGATTTATGTTGGGACAACATGAATACATTAGACACGTTTTTATTGTTGTTTTTTAAGTTGATTTAATTGTTTTTTTTAAATAATTTAAATTGTGCATTCCAAACTAAATGAAATAGCTTTTCATTAGTTATTTATTCTGCATGCCAAAACAACACTGAACACTGAATTAAAAACAACTCAGCACTCAAAAATGCTGTTTGTTCAAAATACTTAATTAAAATGAGCAGAAGCACAATTTTTGAGGTTTTTTTAGGGGACAATGTTCAACCAACTCAAATTTGCCAAGTTAACTTTTAGATTTATGTTAGTACATAATGTGTATGATTGAAATATGTAGAACCCTGCATTTTTTAAGCTGCAAGTTCTGCCCTGGACACATTTTGATCATTGCCGGTTTAATCATTGATTTAATTGTTCATTATTTAAATTGTGCATTCCAAACTAAATGCAATAGTCTTTTATCAGGAATTTACTCTGCATGCCAAAATACAAACAAAAAATACAAACAAATAAATGTTGGGTTGTTTTTAACTGAATGTTAGTTTGTCCATATTTGGCCCAACCAAGTGTTTAAAAAATACATTGCTGTTTGTTCAAACTACCTATTAAAAATAAGCAGAAACCATCAAGTTCTTGAGTTTTTTTGTGGGGAAAACTCAATTGTTTTTTTGTTTAATCCACTTAAATTTGTAAAGACGAATAAGCTAACTTAATTCCATCACGTTGTCCCAACACAAATCGACCCAGCATTGTTTTACAGCGATCATTTGTTTCGAGTGTACAGTGTGTTTTAAATGCTGCGGCTCAGCTGTTTGTTTTATTGAATTGTTGGCTTTGTGTATATTTTGTCCTTGTGGATGTTTATGCGCAGCACCAAACCTTTGTGTGTCATTAATAAACGTGGCCTTCATTGTCACACTCTTAAATCGAGCACTCATCTTTTGTGTCCGTAAGAAAGCGAGAGAAGAAGAGAAAGGACAGCTACGGGAGTCGCTACAGTAATTGCTCTAGTTGGCACTACTGCAGTGCCTTTGGTGCGGAAAGATGTGTGTATGTGTGTGAGCGCGAGCTCAAGGGAAGTTTTTTTTTATTATTATTTCTGCATCTCTCATTTTTATTATACCTTGCAAACAAAGCAAATCATTCACTTTAGAAACAGCTTTTGTTCAGTACTTTAGCAAACAGGAAACATTCTCAGAACTTTACCATTAACAAAACATTTGTTTAAAGTTATTTGGCTTTAATTATGTTCTCAAAACATTAGTACCAAAACTATTTTTTTCTGAAAGATTTTGGTTGGATGTGTGCCATTTTTCACATTTTTACAAAAATTCTGGGTTCTGAAGATATGTTTTGGCATGAAGAAAAAATACCTAATAAAAGGCTGTTTCATTTCGTTTGGAATGCACAATTTGAGTCATAAAAGCAATTAAATAAAATTTGAAGAAAAAAAAACAATAACATAGAAACGTGCCCAGATCAGAGAATACACTGTAAAAATGCAGGCTTCTACACAATTTATTCATGTTGTCCTAACATAAATTGATAAAGCTAACAAATATGAGTTGACTGAACAAAAAAAAATTAAGTTGTCTCAAAAAACCTCTCAAGAATAGTGTTGTTTCAGCTCATTTTAAATATGTAGTTTGAACAAACCGCAAATATTGTGCACTGTAAAAACAATCCAGGGTTCCACACAATTCATTTATGTTGTCCTAACACAAATTGATTAAGTTAACTAACAATGAAATCTTAAGAATTGTGCTGTTTCAGCTTATCTTAATTAAGTAGTTTAAACAAGTAAAAATGTTTTGAGTATAATTTCAATAAACATAACTATCTAAATAAATATTCAAATTATGTTTGTAAATGGGATGTGTTCTTATGGAATGCTT